TGAAAGTACTTTATTTTTCTGTGTGGTTTTTGTGTGATTTGAATAATTGTATATTTGTATTTGTATATTTTATGCATCAACTGCACCAGGTCACATTCCTCGTAGGTGTAAAAACCTACTTGGCAATAAACAACATTCTGATTCTGATTCTGATTCATCCAACTTTATAAATGACCTGTAAATAAATATAGTGCAGTTTAAGATCTTTGATGAATTATTGATCACAGTGCTATCAGAGGAGACGCCTGTTTAAACACACTCTGACAGGCTGAGTCTCCCTTTATGTAATTTACTGACAGTGACGTCAGCATACACACAGGATCTTTTATTGTGAAGAGGTCTCACTGTGTCTGCTGTTGGAGAGCAGAAACAGCTCAGAGTGAGACATCTTGCTGACAATACACACTCTCTGCTGTAATCAGTATGTTTGAATTCAACAAACAGAAACAGCTCAGAGTGAGACCTCCTGTCCAACATCACAGCTTCCTATCTTTGTCTTTACAGCCTAAAACACATTTTACAGTTTATCTTTAAATGATATTGATCTCATTGTTTATGTTATTGATCATCATGTGGGGACCGATACAGTAATTGATTGATAGAATATTGATGAGTTCACAGACTGCAGTTATAGGATGTGTCTGTGGAGCTCAGCAGAAACAGAGTGAGACCTCCCTGCTCACACACACTCTCTGCACTCTGACGCAACAGGAAGTAGCAGCAGCAGAGACAGGAGAGTCCCAGCTGTACGATCAGACATCAGAAATAATCAATAATCCATACACAGAGCTGATCAGACAGAGCTCAGTGCTGTCCACCTGTTCTACCTGTGATGATGTCAGCACTGCAGCTTCCATGCTGAGCTGCGGCTGCAGGTGATCAGAGGTCACTGATAATCAATAATCCATACAGACAGTTGGCGGCGGTGTGAGGTCGTGATGATGTCAGCACTGCAGCTTCCTGCCGAGCTGTGGCTGCAGGTGTTCAGCTTCCTGTCCTGGAGAGACAAACTGAGCGTTCGCTGCACCTGTTCACACTTCAGACACCTGCTGGATAAGTCCCGCCCCCTGTGGCGAGGCTTCAACGTCGTGCTGCGAAACTTCTCACGATACAACCGACCGTTCTGGCGCAGCCTGGCTCAGAGGCACGTGGGCAGTGTGTCAGTGCGCTCAGGTAAGAGGAAACACCTGAAGCAGCTCTCTACCTGGCTTCCTGCTCTCGACGCGCTGCGATTGGACGACTGGGTGGAGGGAGGAGCCGACGAGCTGAAACAGTTCCGCTGGCTGCAGCGTCTGTCCGTCACTTCCTCTTCCGCGCCGCTGAAGAATGTCGACTTCCTGTTTCCTCTGAGTCATCAGCTGAAGCAGCTCAGCCTCTGTAATGTGCAGCTCACCTGTCCCGCCCCTCACCTGTTGGCCGCCATCAGTCAGCTGACCCGTCTCACCTCACTGCTGCTGCACCACGACGGCAGTCTGAGAGTGCCGACGCTCAGCGGCGTCCTGACTCACCTGACTGAGCTCAAACACCTGTCCTGGACCATGATCACCTACAAGACACTGTCACGTGACTTCTTCAGCCCCACCCACCTCACAGGTAAACAAAGAGACAGGTAAACACACACAAACACACTCACACACACACACACACACACACAGGAGAACAGGTGTAAGAACAGGTGTGTGTCTTCCAGCAGGTGGCGCTCTGCAGCTGTCTGACCTGCAGTTGTTGGACTACGACGCCGTGGTGACACAGGAAGTCCTGCAGCCTTTGTCCCGCCTCCGCAGCCTGTCCATCTTCCACCTGTACTCTGTACCTGGACCCACCTGTCACCTGCAAACATGGCTGACGACACTGCCGCACCTTCACAGCCTCAACGTGCACGGTGAGTCTCACCTCCCGCCGCCTCAGCCCTCTGAGCTGCAGTGATGTCATGATGACCTCACTCTGCCTGTCCAATAGGAGGCCACCCCCTGGCGGCGTACGCTGACTTCCTGCCCTCCTCCCTCCTCAGTCTGACTCTCTGTGTGGATCTGCAGCCTGAAGACCTGCAGGTGGTCTCACACAGAGCTCCTCACCTGGAACACCTGCACCTGGAGCCCTGGAGCTCCTCCTCCAACCTGGTCCGCCTGCTTCCACAGCTGTTCCCTCACCTGAGGACGCTCCGGATCAGGTGAGTCACTGCTGGAAGAATGAGATTGGCAATAATCAATAATCAATAACTGGATTAACTCCAATGACGAGCCTGAAGAATTCAGACAGGAAGTTGATTCTATCAGTTTAAAAACGGACGCAGTGATTGGAGGAATCGAACCAACACGCTGCTGGTTTCCATAGTGACCTGCTGGT